ACTTTAAAATATAAACAATATTTTGAGATTTCAAAATTTTTTCTTTATTTAGAATTAATTTTAAACATAATAAACTGTGATTATGTCAATGTGATTATTTTACACATATTAAATGCTAAGTCGGGCATACTATGGTTTCTTAATTTTTTCTTTGAAAATTCAATATTTTAATATCGTAAATCGTTCAAATTTAAACAGTTCATCATACCCTCAATCCTCGAAATTCCCAAAATATTAAAATAATACTTTAAGTTGCCTCATTAACACCAGTCATAGCGTACTCTTTATCATTTAACATATAAACTATACTATATTTAGATGACTGACTTTAATACCCAAGTCATTGGTTGATTAAATTTGACATTCTTTATGCATATGCAAACCAAAACTGAGACTGGCATTATTTTTGGGCAAAATGAAACAAATACATGAACAAACAAAAACATAAAATCTAAGACAACAAAAACACAGTTAGTCAACATAAAAGTGTTGATAATGAACGCCTGTGGATTTGCAAGGAGTTGACAAGTCATGACACCCACAACAACAAAAAACTAAATAATCACTAGTTTTCTCTTTGTTTTGTGTGAAGCAAGCTTATTAAATAGGAATTTGAACATTTAGAAGAAAAATTAAAGTGTTATATTCGGTTATAGGGAATTATTTATATCCCAATATATACTCGAAATATATGACCTTAATAATAATACAATTATTATACTAGATGAAGAATGTGTCGTAAATTCCGAAGACCTTATGATATAATTTTAGCGAATCCAAGTTTCGTAATTAAAAACGAATATATGTATGGGCATATATGTACATATGTATGTATGTATGTACATACCTAAGTATATATTTAAAAGTTGTTATAATAAGACCCATTAACATTACGGCCACTTTGATAAAACCAAAGCTAGATACATAATATGGTGTAATTGATAAGTTTTTTAAAAAGTTTATTAAACCTTAAAACTAAAAAAACCTTATACAGTTAATTCGAACAACACCCTCGGCAAACACTTTTGTAATTCATTTTACGTCTGTCTACAACATCATTAGTGGCATTAAGTTGTTTCAAACTACAGATAAAGAAGAAGGGGAAAAGTAAATCACTATTATACCGTTTTTGTTTTCATATGTTTGTTTAGCTTTGTTTGTAGCTTTGTACTTAAACAGATAAATGTGAAAATTTCTCAGAAAAAAAAAACATATTAACCATATTTTGTCTTAAGCTTTTATGTTTTGAAGGTCAGATTTTTATCTTTAAGTCTTTAGTCTATCTTATTATATCCTACACTACTATAGTGGGGAGAATATTATGAGTTATGTTGGTAACAGCCAAAAGTGTATATATACCAATCGGCTCAGAGCCACTGTTTGAGTCGATTTTGCTCTGTCCGTCCGTCTGTGTGTCCACACAATGGTTGTGTGCAATATACAGAAAGTAATTTATGGTTGTAAATCTGTTCAAGACCAAGTGTGGTTCAATCTGGAAGTTATAAGCACTTTAATGTGAATCAAATACCTAAATTTTGATATAAAACTCTTTAATTGCGAAAAACCCATATAAAAATTCAAAAAATATTTTTTTTATTAAATAATACGATACATACCGTGCTAGAAATATTCTAAATCGGAGCACTTATGCTACATAATCATGCACCTAAGGTCAAAATCTATTGAAAATGGTGTAAGGTTACATATGGTCGGCCATGCCCGAATACACTTTCTTACTTATTCATTTATGGTTTTTACACTATGTATATGTATCCGCAGAGAAGAAATAATAATGTTAATAAATAACACAAATAAATTGACACAAGTGTTATAGTTAAAGATTTATACATGACCGAAATGGAATTGAGCAAACAGTACAACCAGATTATAAGGATATATGTATGAATTATAGGTATAAATATTGTATTTACTTTAGTTGTTGCTTGTTGTTTGGTTGTGTCTCATAATTTTATAGCCATTGATAAGGAATATGCTTTGGAATCAGAAATTTTTCCCCCCTGACAATTCAAATAAACCTTATCTGATGTAGTTTTGTTATAAAATAAACTAAAAAAGGATAACCAAGTAAAGGCCATCAAGTGTTAGTTAGTGTCATTTACAACTGAATTTATAGGCAAAAATAACATAACAGAATTTTAGTTTAGTAATTAAAACCTTTGCGTCAAGTTCACAACTCAGAACGCAAGGTTGTATTGGTAAGGTTGCAATGACATTTTTTGACAACAAACATTTTACTTTTGCTGTTGTTTCTATGTAATTTAGAATGTTTTTAACAGTATTTAATTGAGTTTTTGTAAAACATTATATAATGTTGCAAAAGTAAGACTAATATGCACTTACATATCGCTCATTTACTTCAAGACTGGCATAACTCAAAAAACATTGATTCGTGAAAATGTTTTTAAAAACTCAAAAAATCGATTTGCATGAAATATGCATCAAGGTAAGTACTATTGGATAGTAGGCCAGACACAAATTTGCTGCTCTATCGGTCAAGAACTGCCGGGCTTAGAGGGGGCAAAGTTGAACATTTTTTCATACAGGGTTTTATTCAAATGAGTGTAACTTTTTACCTATTGGTCATACTGCTTAACTCAAAATCTATCCCACTCGAATCCCACTAAGTAACCAAGGAAATTGTATAAACTTTCTTTTGATGAAAAAAGGAGTTTTTGAAAAAAAAAAATTATTTTTTTTGGAAGTAACGAAGAAATAGCTATCTGAACTTCTTTGGACAATTTTTGGTAGGATCAATAGGGGAATAGTTACCCTGTATGACCAAAATGACTAACATTGACCCCCCTAAGTCCGGCAGTTCCTGACCGATAGAGCAATCTGAACTCCTTTGGTAAAAAGTTGTACTCATTTGAATAAAACCCTGTATGATCAAAAAGTCTAATTTGACCCCTCTAATTCCGGCAGTTCTTGGAAAGTTGTGTGCCTGGCCTAATATCCAGTAGTACTAACCGTGGTGCAAATTTCATCCAAATCGGAAGACATCGATTTTAAAATTATGTAATTAAGTTTTTACATTTATATCAAAATATCACTCTCAGACCGACAACAATATAGTATGTTAACAAATATGTTAAACTATGTGAGATACTTAAGAATTGAGCATATTTTATCTCGGTTCAAAAATTCGAATTTTGAGTTATAACAGTGTTGTATAAATGTACGCTATAGAGTTATCATATACATTAAGTGATATGATTTTCAATTTACACTTGAACTTATTCTTAAAATACAAAACAAGGCAAATGAAATAAAAAACAAAAAATAATTTTAACTGAACCAACTCCTATTGTTTAACGACAATAAAAACATTACTTGAATTGTTTCTAACAATGACCAAAATGATTTAAATCAAGGCGTGGTGTTGATAGCACAGCATGTCTACTTTTTTATGGTTTAACAATACTGTGTTTAAGCTTTAGGTGTTTTATTATACGCTACACCACTTTAATGTGGAGGGTATATTGAATTTGTGCTGATGTTTGTAACGCATAGAATAAATGGTCCTATACCCACCTTTAAGTAGTCATGTCCGTCCGTCCGTCCATCCGTCTGTCTGTCTGTCTGTCTGTCTATCTGTCTGTAATCAAACTGCAGGTTGCAATTTTGAAGATTATTGGATGAATTTTGGTACACGCATTACTTTTGATCCAACACTTAATAGGGTTGATTTTGGTTTACATCGGTACATTATTTCACCTAGTCCTCATATAACCGGATCGGTTCATATATAGCCCCCATATATAGCCTCTAAATATTCATTTCTTCATCAAAAATATATCGAAATTAAGGAAAAAGTGCTTTATTATTAAAAATAATACACATTTTAGATATACTCATAGCAGGTGTAGGGTATCATATGGTAGGAAACGCCAGACTATACTTTTTTACATGTTTTTAATATATAAAGTAAAAAAAGAAAAGTTTCTGAAGGCAAAATATTTCCAAAAACTGCTTAAAATGCTATTATTTTAGATATTTTTTTTTATGGACATGCTGAACATAAATCTGTCCAATTAATTAAATTGATTTTTGAGATATTGATTATTATGATACTGATTAGTTTAATTGTATTGTCTGGTTTAACCATATAACGTTAATTTTGGACCAAGAATATCATATTCTGGTGCCTTTTTTAGTTCGGTTTCTATTACTCCATTAAGTCGCATAAAATACTTGTCTGACCACTTACTTTTCAATGACTACTATTATCTGCATTATTTTTAAGTACTTTTATAATTACTTACATATAATCAGATACGTAAGTACTTTATTTTGAGTTTTTCTGTTTTATTTGCACATATTTATGCTTAAAGCAGTAGTTTTGCTTTACGCATTTATTTATGCGTAAAGCAAAACTATTTTTTAACTCTATATTTGTAAGTAATTATTTAAGTAGTTATTTGTAAGCGAGCGTATACCCTAAAAGTGTATACACATAACTTGGAAAATACTTAAAATCCTACATAATATTTAACTTAATTTTAAAGTTTTTAAAATAGTGCAAATGAAATAGTTTACTTCCAAACGGAGTATATATGTATGTATGTAGCTCAATGTCAAATATGGTATAAATTCTGAATTGTACAACAAAATTATTGAGCTTTACTGAAAAAGTACTTTGTTAGCACAATGTCTTATTTTAATTCTTAACACGGGGCTGTCTGATATATTAGTTGCCACAAACTAATTCTGGCATTTAATGGTATTATTATTTTACCACAAAAGGCTTACTAAAGGAAATTATAAAATTTAATGTAGTATCAGCGATTTAAGTTTGTATGGTAAAAATTGCATGAAAAAATATACATTCTAACCTACAAATTCTCTTAAGCAAATAAACTCTCTTAAAAAAGAGTATTTCTTGTCGTTATCCTTTGTTACGTTATAACGTAAACTAAGCATGAGTACAAGTGAAAACATACTAAACAGGACACACAACAAATCAGTTAGCACAACTTTGTTGAAGAGTCAAGTCCAACGAGCGGTTCTTAAAACATTTTCGGTATATTTTTTTGTTATTGTAAACAACAAAATAAAAGTCCTTTTTGTTTTAATAGGGTATTGTGTAAAAAAAAGAAAAGACAGCAACAATTTTTTATACTTTTGCAACAACCGGCGGTAAAGGCATGACACATTGTTGTTATTTACAAAGATAATTTTTTGGATTACAATCAAAATATTTTGACAGTTTCAATAAAACAATAAAAAAGCATGTAATAACAAAACAGAAAATATAAAAGTATATGGTTTAAAATTAAAACAATAAACTAATATAAAATTTTATAAATACTTATATACTTACATATGTAAATGTGTAAAAATAAAATTATGTTTGAATAAATATATGTGTTGTAGTGTCTACTTTAAAAATTTTATTAAATGTATGTGTAATTTTTATTCATTACATCAAAGAAATTAATATATAAATTTTTTTGTATATTAGTCAGTTGAATGATTTTTTTGTGTTATAGAATTTATAGAAAATAAAGCAAGTGTAATTAAATCAAAATTATTTATAACTATAACAACTGTTTTAAGTACGTTCATCTGGCGTCTATAAAATTCAAAAAGTTTTTAAAGTGAAAGCTAAAAGAAATATTTAGAAATAAGTAGAAAAATAAATATTAAATTCTATCATGTTTAAGTGACTTATAATCTACCTTTTCTTTGCAACGTCAACTAAGGATTGGAAAAATGACAATGTGAGATATATTTTTTCCTTTTGAACATTATCAATTATTATAGAAGGTCTATGGTTGATTGCGTGATAAATTGTGATAGAACAAATTCTAGACCACTTAAAATATTAATATTTTATATAGTTTTGAACAAATTATTTTAATTAAAAATAGAAATGTATATCGAGGGTTTATATTCAATAGTCGCTATCTTTTATTTTCATGAAAATGAGATTTTGTTGGCAACATATTCAGCAAACAATGCCGCATTCGTGATATTTTGGTAATTACCATGTCCCCAGGAAAAACTTACATTGAAAAGTAATGAGTTAAAAAACTAATAAAACCTATTTTCACTACTTCTTCATTAGCATTTTAAGTCATTATTTTAACACGGTGATATCATTGGAGGCAAGTACTTCTACGCTCGCTTGCAAATAGTTAGTTAAAGAAGTACTTGCAATTTCTCTTACAAAACAGTTGTTGAGTAAGTTGTTTTGTTTTTTAATAATAAAAAGAGCCAGCTAGAATACGAACCAGGTACTTCGGTTTGTTAGTCAAATGTTCTACACACTGCACCATTGCTTAGCTAAGTGGTAAGTGGTTATGGAAGTACATAGAGAATATTGAATATAGTCCCTCCATATGTTGGTTATAAATAGACATAAAATGGATTACGAGTACAGAATATTATATTAGATTATATTTATATTTATGCCACTACCGATTTGTTAAATTTAGAATGAAAATCAGGTTATATTTGATTGGTTTTATATGTTACAAATCGATTTTAATTACAATTGTAAAATAATAAGCTTTTCTGAAATATTTTTCTTGACGCTTTATAATATCCATGCCCAAGGATGTTATAGCACCAGAACACAGAGGGAAAAATAAATACACACGCCTGGTACTAAATTGACACCAAAGTGTTTATAATTTTTCAATAACATCCGTTGTCAAAGTATATACATACGTACGACAACACTATGTAATGTTGACAACGCAACGCTGCCAACATTGCAACAACTCGTTGTCGAAATTTAAATTTTATACACATCCCTTATCTAAATGTTAACAAACGTGGTAAGCTCACTATTGACATCGGATTTGTTTGTCAATAGTGAGCTTACCACGTTTTTTAACATTTAGACAACGGATGTGTAGACAATTTAGATTTCGACAACAAATTGACAGTTGTCAACATTGCATAGTGTTGTCGTACGTATGTATAAACTTTGACAACGGATGTTATTGAAACATTATAAACAGTTTGGTGTCAATTTGGTACCAGAAGAAAAAAATCTTATAAAAAATTTTAGATTTTGTTCATATACAAATAACTTTTTTTCCTATTTATCAAATAAATTTGAAATATTTTGAAAGAGCGATTCAATTAAATAATACGCTCTCACGAACACAATAATAAAGTTGTCTTCCATACGACAAAGTATTTACGATACTAGAGGCTCTGTCACTTAGGCAATTAGCAATTTATAATGATATTCAACAAAAGTAGAGCTTTTATTTGGAACACATATGCCTCCACTATAACTCTAAAATATGTACTTAGAATGGCACTTAAAAATTGTCAAAATATGTGCTAAGAACCGTTACAAAAGCAAATTCCAAAAAAATATTGTGGAAAATCGTGCAAATCCTTAAAGGAACAAATAGAAGTTTTTAAAGTAATTTCTTTAATCTTATTGTTTTTGTTTTAATGTTATAAACAAACTAAATCGGTTCATTTGAACCCAAAATTGTTTTAATGGAAAGTGATTTTTTAATAAAAAATTATATTTTATCAGAAAATTTTTATAAAACTACTTTGTCCTACAATTAAGAAGATCAATATTTTATATCTATTTTTTCTTCCCAAAACAATAAAATAAATTATCTAAATCGAGGTTAACATTCACACACAATAAATTAATATGCTGTTTTAAAAACAAATCGCATAAAACGGGTATTTTGTAAATCGAGGGGTAGGTGTATTGATGAAATTTATCCCTGGTTACTTTAAGCACTTAAAACTTATACAGTAAATTTAGATGACACTTGTCCCCACTTAACGTTGAAATCGCATGAGGCTGTAGAAATGAAGTCAGCCATCTCCGTTTTTATATTTTTCGAATTAGATAAGATTTATACTTTCGTGTTCCTATTTATTTAGTACATACATATGTATAATGTAATTAGGAGAAGATGAAGTTTGATGGCAAATTCAATCCAATATTCATAGGAAAGGTCATGATTAAAATGGAGATTGCTGCGTTTGATTCAACAGTCCTCATATAGTACAACAAATAGCTAAGCAGTTATATCAGAACTCAATGTTTCAGTATTGAAAATGTTTCAAATAAACTTCTAAATAAAACTGAAACATATCAGGCGAATAGTATTTCATACAAAATTCTTAATCATTAAAGTATACTTTACTATACTATAGTACATTTCGAGTACAAATATTCCATTAAGGTAAAAGTTCTAGATAGACAATACTATAACTGCTCTATAGTTATGCATAATGTTCGGCTGATTAAACAAACTCTGAGAATTAACAGAAAATGATATTTTTTTATATTTTATTTAACATAAATTTTAAGCTTATTATGATATTTTTATATAAAAGATGCAATTAAAAAAAACAACCAAAGATTAAAGTAAACATTTTGTTTCATGTTTTTTTAATCAACTGAGATTACATAAAAATCTGTAAAAACTAGAATTAATTTAAAATAATGCGAATTTTGTATAAATCTTCTTTTCGTAGATTATATCAAATAAGACTTTAAACTGCAGACAAAAAAAAAAATTAAAAATATTAAAGCTGTCACTAGTGACATAATTTAATTAAATTTAATTTAATATAAATTGAAGTGAAATATTTAAATAACAAAACAAATAAAATAGAACAGACTACAACATATACCCACAGAATGACATGTCCTATCCACGGAAGTTTTCTATTTACTTAAGACGAAAATAGAGAAATAACAACAAAAATATCTTAAAAATTAATTTTATTCTTATACAAAAAAAAAAAAAAGAAAAATAAACCACCATCAACAACAACAAACAACAAATCATATCAACTATATTTAAATACACACATAAAAACAACTGTAAAAAACTGTAGTAAGGAAAAATCCTGGAAAAATGTTTTGGATTTTACGACGCACTGGAGCAGCAAATTTTTTCAATTCATTGAACAACAATTGCAGTACATCCAAAGGCCATGGCTCTAATACACAAACAACACAGGGTAAGTATATTTATATATTTTTATCTATAAATGTATGGATATAGTATGTACATTGTGTCCGGCATTGTCCGGCATTTATTCGCATTTTCCGCCTTTTATTATGAATTTTGAAAACAGTAATTTATTTATAAAACAATGTTGCCCATTGATTTTAAAATACCGTTTACAACATCGAAAATTTGGTCACATAACTGCAAAGTTATCTAAATTATGGATTCTTTTTAAATTGTAAGACAATCTTGATATAACCATCTATTAATCTGACAAGATTATATGTATCTTTGTAAAATGATAAGGATATGTACATATGTCGGGTATATCTGTCAATCTATTATGAGCTTTTATAAGTCCTTCTGCCTGTCCGTCCGTCCGTCCGTCTACTCTTGGAAGCACAATGGCGCTGAAAGGGGTAGATCCAGAGGTAAGAAACTTTATATATTAATTTTTATACACTATACCACATAGAATTAATGGTCCTATACCAACATTTAAGTGTACCAATCGGAATTTTTTTCTGATTCGATTAAGTCGGCCGTCCGTCCGTCCGACTGTCCGTCCGTGTAATCAAACTACAGGTCGCAATTTTGAAGATAATTCGATGAAATACACGTACTATTTTTGACCCAAAGACGAACCATATTTTGGTTGATATCAGTCTATTATTTCACCTAAATTATATTAATCTTAATTAGGATTAGGAGCTCATAATTATACCCAATATACTAATATCTATACAAAAACAGGCATAGCTACGTTTTATACAAACATAAATGTTACTGCAAAATTTCGCAATTACTGAAACCTATTTGGCGCTAGCCCGACTACAAATTCCCCCTCTGAAAATGCTTGAACGTATTTAATTCCTTTACATGGGTATTTCAATGAAATTCGGCATAATTAACTTTTGACAACAAAAATCCCTCCACCAAAATTTGTTAGGATCGGATCATATTTGACCCTAGCCACCATATATAGCCTCTATCAGAAAATCAGTTTTCATCTTAAATAGATCAAAACAAGTAAGAACTTTTAGTCGGGCATGGTAGACCATGTGATACCCTACACCAGTGATTATGTTAAAAGTGTTGATTATTGTATTTAATAATAAAGTATTAAATTTCATGTTTACCTTAATTCAGAAATATTTTAACAATTTGTTAACAAAAAAGGAAGTTTCTAAATGAGGGCCTATCCTTATAACTTTTTGTAGAGGGATTTACGTCTACATTAGTAATTTATGGAGAATATCATCATGATATTAGTGTTTATAAGTGAATTTTGACCGTCTGAAGGGGACTTTGTATGGGGGATAGGGTCAAGTGAGGCCCTATAACGAAAATCAGCAGTGTCATTAAGATACTAATAACTAATTTTTGATGTGATACAAAAATATTAAACATATTTATGAGCTCAAAAGCCCTATTAGGGGGGCACGATTTTAACCACTTTCAATATTTCAAATCGACTCAGAAAGTGATTCTGAGCCGATTGCTATACTTTAATATTTGACCAATATTTTTGGCTGTTACAAATATCAGCACAAATGTATAGTACTCACTATAGTGGTGTGGGGTATTATTAAGGCAAAATTCAACATAAAAGCTTTATTATTAAAAATAATACACATTTTAGATATACTAATAACTGGTATAGGGTATCATATGGTCGACCACGCCCGGCTATACTTTTTTACTTGTTTGTTGATAGAATTGCTTTCTCGGAATACTATTTGATTATACAGCAATCGTTATAATATACTACATGGGTATGTTCTATGTACCTAAAAAATGACGAAAATCGGGACAAAGTTGACCTAATGTTCTCTTAAGCAAAGTATTATAAAAAAAAGTTCAAAGCTTTAGAACACCATGTCATGGCTAGATCGTCTAAGAATTTAATAAGGACTGATAATATACATATGTATATATACTTGTGTGAGTCTACGACGATATTTCAGTGTGTTACAAACGGAATGACAAAACCAATAACAATTATATGTATAAAGAAGAATGCGTTTGCAAGTGTGTGCTCAAAATGTACGCTAATCCAGCTATTCGGGGTGGTTGTCTTGAATTGATGATTTTATTTAATACACACATATACAAAGGTCATAATCGACTTTTGTGTGTGAAATGACAATTGACTTCCTCCATGTGTTATAAGGAGTAAATTCATTTGAAGTACCGCAAGAAAATCCAGGGACTATATTCAATACGTGCTATCTGTGATTTTCATGAAAATAACATTTTGTTGATACAAATTTCGAAGGCAAACAGATATTTTTGGCAATATTTTTGCACTTTGAAATTTCTCTTTCGTAACACCCTCTAACAATTTGAAAAAAAGCTTTCACACATAAAAAAAGTTGCTATGCAAGTGAAACTAGATTACATTTATAGCAATTCTGCGTACTCCGATTTTTATAATCAGTCCTTATAAAAGGACTAAAAGGAATTTTAAAGGACTTTCAATTTCAAACGAATATTTTAAATATTTATATGTGTTGTATGATTGGTATCAAACGAAAGCTGGGAATCTGTACATTTTATCTATATTATTCGTTTGACTCACTTGGACAAAAAATCGAAAAAGAAATTAAATTTAAACAAGTAAGAGTGTTATATTCGGCTATGCCGAATCTTATATACCCACCATCAAACCTCGTTCGACTAGAATGAAACTTACTTACGTCGAATTTCATCTATATACTCGTATATTTAGTTATAAGCATTAAAGTAATTTTCTGAAGGGGACCTTATATAGGGGGATAGGGTCAATTATGGGTCGATCCTCATAAAATTTGGTAGACAGAATTTGGTTCGTATTAAATTTATTTGTGTCGAATTTCATCGCTACACTCGTATTTTTAAACCATTAATAAGCGTTGCAGTCATTTTCTGAAGGGGACCTTATATGGGGGGTGGGGTCAATCATGGGCCGATCCTCATAAAATTTTTTAGATAGATCAAATTTCATCTATATACTAGTATTTTTAAGCCAGTAATGAGCGTTAAAGTCATTTTCTGAAGGTGACCTTATATGGGGGGTAGGGTCAATTATGAACCGATCCTGATAAAATGCATAGTGATTTTGGATCATAAGAAACTTACTTATATCGAATTTCATCGCTATATTCGTATTTTTAAACAAGTTATGGTTGTTAAAGCTGCTTTTCGAGGGGTCACTTGTATGGGGGCTATCCGAAAACGTGGACCGATATTACCCATTTCCAATACCAAACAAACCTTACCTATACTAAATATTTATGTGAAATTTCAACCCTCTAGCTCTTTCCATTCGGACTCTATCGTGCTTTCAACAGACAGACGGACAGACATGGCTAGATCGTCTTAGAATTTAATGAGGACCCAGAATATATATACTTTTGTGGGTCTATGACCAATATTTCGATGTGTTACAAACGGAATGACAAAATCAATATACCCCCATCTTTTTTGATGGTGGGTATAAAAAGCTCTGATTTTTGAAACAAAAATGTTTAACACCTTTTTTGTGAACAATTTTCTTAAGGCTCCATTTCTTTTTTAATCCTGATGAATTGAAATAAATAATATTATTTTGAACCTTAGGTTCTCAGGTTCATTAGATATTAATAATAATTCCATCTTTTGAAATCGTATGTCCTTTAAACTTTAAAGTCCTTTTACAGGGGCTTAAGAGCTGATTATGAAAAACTGAGTACACAGAGTTAATACTAATGGTCCACAGTTTCTTATACATGTAGATTTTTTCATGTGTGAAAATGACTGTTGCACGGTGTAATAAAAAGAAAATATTTAAAAAAAGAATGGTTTAATTTTTTTAATTTGAATAATCAAAATAAAAGGTTTACATTCCTATGAAAAATAAACTCTATTTGTAATAAATTTTTAAATAATTCTGCTAAAACTGCAAAATTTTAAAATTCCAATTATTTAAGCGTTTAAGATATGGTCGGAGAAAAATATTACAGAAGAAAAATTAATAATTCATCATGAACTAGCTTAATAAAAAGTTTTTTGCTCTCCTAAAAATTTACGTTATTTAAGATAGAGACTATTGAGTATAGTCCCTCGATATATTAAATTCTTTCAATCAAGTAGTTAGGCAGTAAGAAAAATGTCTGTCCTTATAGAACTGCTGTTAAATGAAAGCAACACAATTAAGTATGTATGTGCGCCTACGAGAGTTTGTAAGCCATCTTGTAGTTAAACTAGAAAATATTTAGTTAAGATAAAGATATTTTAAATATGGTAATTTCTTTATGCCATAAAACTGAAATCACTTAAAATGTTTTCTCTGGTTGTCTCTCGTTGCCATTTATGGTGGCGACGCAACATTCAAAATTTTTTTGATTTTCTTTTCTTCGTTATTCTTTTTGCATAGCTTTTATTTTTTATTGCTAAAAGTAGGAAATCCTTTGTGGTTAGTTATGGGAACAGCATCAAGCGGAAAAATACGTAATTTTATAGATAAATGTTTTTCATAGTTTAGTTTTTATCAGAGGCATGTATAAAAATATCTTAAAATGTGGGTTGTAAATAGTTAATGTTTACTTTTAAATTGAATATTTAATGGAATTCGGTTGTTAAATATCCACATGAGTAGTATAAGATAGTTGTTAATGTAGTATGTATTTGCAAACATTTATATATAAGTAATAAGTTACACTAAATTAAAACTATTTTCTCAACTATGATAAATTACGTGAAAATATGCAGATTTTCTCCGCCGTTTGGGAGATCTTATTATTATTATACCCTACACCACTATAGTGCGTTTTTACAGATGTTTGTAACACCCAAAAATATTGGTCCTACACCCACCTTAAGGTATACCAATCGGCTCAAATTCACTTTCTGAGCCGATTAAGCTATGTGCCTCTGTCCGACTGTCTGTCCGTCCGTCCGTTTGTCCGTCAAGGAAATATACTACCATAATCAATTTTAAGACTACAATAAAATTTAGTAATATTTTCCACACCAATACTGAAAATAATT